CCCCAGATCATTTTTCTTGACAGAGATAATAGAAGCCCAGGAAGAACTGAGTGTCTCTGCCTTCTCTTAGCGTCCTTCTTCATCATTCCGTCTCCCAGAGCAGTCATCCTACTTCCTATGTCTACTTTTCTACAGTATAGCTAAAAACCCTTTTCTGGTATCCTTAGCTCTTCTCACCTGCCTCAGCTCCTTCTGGGCTTTAAGAGCTTCTGAAACTATTCCAACAAAAATATATGATCCTTTAGCATTCATCCTAGGTTACTGGTCCTTCTCCCCTCACACACACACCCACACACACACACACACACACACACTCACTCTCTAAGCCTCTGTTTACTCATCTATAAAATGAGAATAATAATGCCCATTATACTTCATAGGGTTATTGTGAGAAACACATGTGACCATGTTTATAAAAGTGCATTGTAAAAGTTAAAGCACCATCAGCTATTATTACTCTATCTTCTATTCATGTCTTTATATTAAAAAAAATTCTATCAACCAGCAAACATTTATTTAGCACCCACTGTGTGCCAGATACTGTGCTAGGCACCAATGATGCCAATACAAAAAAAATGAAACAATTCCTACTCTTGATGAGCCCATTGCCCATCAAGGAAGTTGTGGACATACAGAGTGTCCCAAAAGCCTCAGTGAAGACTTGAGCTTTAATAACTTAAAGCTGTTCTAATAAATTTAAAATTCTACAGGGGAAGTCAGCCCAGCAAGAATAAGAAACTTACAGGAATGAAATTCTGTGGCCACAAAGACAAAGAGAATCATTCCAGTGGGGAGGAAAAGGAGGAATTACCTAAAGAGACCAATGTGGATGCACAAGGAAATTCACCACCAATTCAGATTTTTAAAAGACATGTACAGAATACTGATAGGAAATACACAATATGTACAAAGTAAAGGACAGGTGATGTTAGGAAGCTTTAATGCCTGAGCATCAGAAAAGACTGGGAGGTTGACTGCTAGCACCCATCTTCCTGAATTACCCTATATTTAGCAGTGCTAGAGTGCCAGGCCTGGAGTCAGGAAGACTCATCTTCCTGAGTTCAAATTTGGCCTCAGACACATATTCACTGTGTGACCCTGGGCAAGTCACTTGACCCTATTTGTCTCAGTTTCCTCATCTGTAAAATGAGCCAGAGAAGGAAATGGCAAACCACTCCAGTATCTTTGCCAAGAAAACCCCAACTGGGGTAACAGAGAGTCAAACAGGACTGAAACAACTGAACAAAGAAAACGTTTATTTTGTTATGCTGTATATGCTTATATAAAGCATATCTCAAAAGTGCAGTTTAAAGTTTTAATAGCTATTATTAGATCTGACTTCCCCTAAAGAATTTTAGTCTATGGGATTCTATCCTTTCTCTGAACTCTTTGAAATCTGCTTTCCCCAAATGTAGGATGCATATTCCTTCTCTATAACAAGTTCTAAGATGGAGTGGTCACTTTTCTGCCTGGAGCCTGTCATTTATACCATTTCTTCTTTGTTGGTGAGTATCAGATCCAGAAGAGAAGTTCCACTTGTGGTTCTTAAACCTTCGGAAGAATGAAATTACCTAATTATCAAGAAGGCAAGTCAAGAAGTAATTAGCAACTCTGCTTGAGAGCAAGAGCGAGCGCTCTAGCAGATCTCAAGATGACAGAGACTTCCATCCCTATTATAATCATTTTAACTCTTGTTAGGCTTGAGTTCCATTTTTGAAACTCCTCTATTCTGACAGAGTATCTGATTCGCCTCCTTTTATGCTTCATCTAAATATTCTTTTCCACTCTTGTTTCTTGGATTACCTCCCTTGAGCATATCTTCTTACCCGTATAATACTGTTCCCATGCCTCCCCTGCTCCCCACACTATTTAACCTATCTTGTTTTACTTGGATAAGGTATATACTTTTAGACTTATCTTCCATTCATAGGCCCTATCCCTCCAAGCCTGAGTTATACCTGTGAGGTCATGGAGTTTGCCTCCTTGGCTTAGGATCTCTAATATACATTGCTTGTTACACTTATTTTATACATTTGTATAGATACTGGAGGTTTTATTGCTTTATTATTTTTTTTCATTTATTTCATTACAAATTTTTCTTCTCCTGTAAATTTCTGGACACTTTTACTTGTCATTCTTCCTACATTTTATTCTCTTTGGTATCTATTTTGCTTGATGTATGTAAACACTTTCCATTACTTCTTTCTGTCTCCCCCTACCCCACCCACTCTCCTTCCTTTTTTGGCTTAAGATCCTTTTGATTAGTACAAGACTCCAGACAAATTCTTACCATTCTTGATCAGATATGCTTTATCCCTGAACAGGACCCTGACATTCTTATATTTTAAGGTGTGTTCCAGAAATCAAATCCCATTCTCAGACTCTATTTTCTTCATCAGTTGTTCACTTCCTGAATCTATTTCTTTCCCCTGAAGGCCATGTTTTTGATTGCCATTGGTGATGAAAATACTGCCTGTGCCCTTTGGTCTCCAGTTTCTTGTCTAAAGCTTTAGCATTTAAACTCTTCTAACTTTAAATTTAGTGCCTTTGTGGTAAAATACATCTGTGAAAAGAGGTATAAATAAGAAAGTGAACATACCTTGCTAAATACAGAAAATAGTGGTTCCCAATTCATGAGCAAAGGGCTTGTGGAGTACCATATAAATATTTCAAGGAGTTCACAAATTTTTATCATATATGTTGTCAATCAACAGATACTACTAATACAACTATTTTGTGGAGGTAGTTGGAATTTTTTGTTGTTAAAAATGTGTCCTCATATTTTAAAAGTTAGAAACCATGATTTCAAACAAACTCATTGTTTCAACAAACATTTATCAATCCATCAATGTACCAGGTACTCCTCTACGCTCTAGGGATACAAAAAGAGGCAAAAATAATAATCCCTGCCCTCAAGGAGCTCACAATCTAATGGGGGAGAAAACAAATACATACATACATACATGCATACATGCATGCATATATATACACATATATATGTGTATATATACATATATAAACAAGCTATATACAGGATGAATAGGAAGTCATTAAGAGAGGTAAGGCACTGGAATTAAGAAGGGTTGGGAAAAGGTTCCCTTTATTTATTAGATACTGTGTGATCCTGGGCCATTACCAGTCATATTAACTTTTGTCTTGCCACTGGACTCTGGATGACTCTGGAGGAGAGAGTGAGGGTGATTTTGTGCAGGTCTCCCTCACTTAAATCTAATTCACTAGCACGTCAAGACATCACCCCTGTGATGTCATTGGTCCTCCTCTCGAATGAAGGATGAACAACAACAGATGCTGTGTATACAGTTCTGTACTAGGTGCTGAAGAAGGATATGGAGTTTAAATAAGATGTAGTCTTTGCATTCTGAGAGTTTACAATCTAATAGGGAGAGGAGATTCAAATACAAACAACTGTATAAATTACATAAGTGGATCAGAGAATTACAAACTAAAGTGCTGTGGGAAGTCAAGTGGGTGGGGTGAGAAGAAACAAGGAATGGAAAGAAATCACAAAAGACTTTATGGAGGATATTGCACATGGACTATATCATGAAAACTGTGCACAGCTTCAAGAAGTGAAGGCAGGAAGGACCTTCCAAGCAAAGAAAATAACTTGAGTAAAGGCACGAGGGTGAGAAAGCTCAGCGTGTCTATAGCATAGTCTTCCTGGACTTAAATTATAATAGTTTAAGAACAGGGTCCCAGCTTTTAATTTCTGCTTCATATATATGACATATACTTACATGTACAGGGTGTCATCTTAGTACTATTAAAACTTAAGACTGCACTAAGACTTTGGGGACACCCTGTATCTGAAGCCACCAATATTAATACCATTCTAAGGGTTGTATAGCCCATCTTCTGGGATCTTTTGTTATCAATAATAGCAGCTTGATTCATTTGCACATTTTTCTAAGGAACAAGATTCATCGTATTAGGTACAGAGTAGCATTTTGTTCAAAAGAGCTTCTCTCACACTCCTAAAGTCTAAGTAAAAAATTCAGTGGGTAGAAATCACTAGTTGCTCCAGGACAAACAAGAGACAGTAGCAAAAAGTCACATGTATATTTCAGTATCATCATAATCATAAAAAAGTAAGAAAATTAACTTTCCCTTTTTCTTTAAAAATGATACTATCAAATTTTATTTTCCATGTATAAACATTTTCCAAAAAAGTATTTGTGACTAGTTTTTTAGACCTCTGGATAGGTAGCCTGATTAAAGGAGTGTAGTCCTTAGAAATTTTAGTCCTTCGGTTGTTATTAACATTTTGAAATTAATATTTGGGGGCAACTGGGGCGCAGTGGATAGAGCACCAACCCTAGAGTCAGGAGGACCTGAGTTCAAATCCAGCCTCAGACACATAACACTTAGTAGCTGTGTGACTCTGGGCAAGTCACTTAACCCCAGTTGCGACACACACACACATACACGTACACACGTACACACACACACACACACACACACAGAGTAATATTTGATGCCCTTTCTGGTTAACATGGATATTTTGTGATTAGATGTGGCAGATAGGAGGCACAGTGGATAGAATTGTGGTCTTGGAGTCAAGAAGACCTGAATTCAAATCCAGTATCAGATACTTACTAATTGTGTGACCCGGGGCAAGTCACTTACCCTCCGTCTGTCTCAATTTTCTCATCTATAAAATGAGGATAATAATACCATCTACCTCCCAGGGTTGTGAGGATAGAATAAGACAATATATGTAAAGTGCTTTGTAAGCCTTAAAGCATTATATAAATTGTTGCTATTGTTATTATTTAAAATCTGTAGATTCTATTTATTCCACTACTATGAAGTATTTTTCCCTATTATATGTACTATTGCATTTAATGAGGTTGCTTTATTGTAGTTTTAGAGTAATTTTATATCACTTAGAATCAATAGTCAGATGCCATAGGAAGCACTTGGTCAGTCATTTTGGAGGTAAAATTTGTTTTGAATTTACAGAAATCAGGATTCTGAAGATGTCAGACAGTCCATCCATCAAAGCTAGCGTCACTTTAAGAAACGGGGTGGAGTCTCCTAATGTCAGTTTCAAGTCCTCCAGCTTCTGTGGCTTGTCATCCACATCTTCGTTTCAAGATAGCGGCTACAGTGACTCTCTGAAGGCTTCCAGCTTTGACTATAGTGATGGGGAAAACAAAGGAAAAAATATAAAAGGCTTATCATCCACACAGGAATACTCTGAAAATTCTAGTCTGGGTTTCACTTGTTCTGTGAACTCTCCCACTGAAAATAAGAATTCTAGTTCTCTTTTTAGGAAAGAGGCGAATGAAATCACAGAGCTCTGTGAAACTCCAAAAGTAACTAGGAAGAAAACATTTTTCCGTAGAAGGTTGAATATAACAAATATTATTTCAAGAGAGGACACGGAACACTTTGATAAGCAAAACTGTTCCTTAGGAAGCTGTGCAGAAACACCGCCTGTGAGCCAACTCCTCAGTTCTGAGGAAAGAGTTTCAAAAAGGGCTTTGGGGTCCCCAAGACAAACCATTTTCATTCCTGTAGCCACTAGTACTTTGAAAGCAGATGAAGCCGCTTCCAATGGTCAAAAATTGAGACTTTCTTTTTCTCAGCATAAAACATCCACAATTGATGATTCCAAAAGTGATCATAGCCTATTTGAAGTTGAGTGTATCTCTCCAATTCAGGGAAATAGCTGTACCGATGCTCTCACCAATGACTTTGGGGATAGCATTTTAAGTATTAATGGAGAGACTACAGGCCCTGAGCTGCTGGGATCATCTTCTTGTGAAGCGCTCTGTGAGACAAACGAGGACGTATTTGTAACCCCAATCAGTAACCTGGTAGCAAACATTAAGTTTTGTGGTTGTAGCCCAGCTGAGGGGATAGATAATATTTCCACGCCTGAAGACAGTGGTTTTAATTCACTGGGTCTGGATAAGTCACAAGATTCCTTTTCTGATCATGAGGGTTCTTTTCAAGAACTATTTCAGAAATCCCTGGGGACTGAGAGGACATTGGGCACAAAGAGAAAGCCAAAAAATGTAGGGAGAGTGAGAAGACTGTCCACACTTCGGGAGCGTAGTTCACAGTCTGAAACTGAAGAAGATAAGCCTTTCGTGAATTCTGGCTTTAAAGCAAAAATAGCAGCAGCTTCTGGCATTTCTCCAAGTGAACAGATTGATAATAATAGTGGAGATTCGATTTTAGGTCTTAAGGATTTATCAAAGACACCTGCTTTACAACTGGTCCATGAGATTATCATGAAAAGCAAAAGGAAAAGATTTCAGCAAACTGGTGTACGAAGTCGTCTAAAGGATGTTGAGGGGGGAGAAGTATCCTTATTGGAATATGTGATTGCAGGGCTTATTGGCAAGAAGATGGGCCTGGAAAAACTGGACATCTTAACTGAATTAAAATTTAGAAACTTAAAACATATTCTTACTATGGTATTAGATGCTTTGACAGTGGAAAATCTATGCAGGTAAGAAATGAAATAGATTATCACATAAAACTGCCCTTTCATTGTTATTTGTAATTAGTAAATTTGTGTAAATGAGAAGAGGTTTTCTATTTTTCCATATTTTGCATCATCTCAACTTTTGAGATTTTAAATTTGAGCCATCCAAACATTTTGGACAAAGTTCTCTTTGGAGCTTGTTAGTAGATTTCCTACTAGGCAGAAGCACTTTTGAAGAAGGACAAAAGAGACTTTATCCAGATGGTAAGCATATCTATTTTGCCAGTTGGAAAGAGACTTCCTAGAATTTAAACTTAGAATTTTCAACATAGAAAACTTTGTTCCAAAAAAGCTGTTTAGTTATTAATTTATTGTCCTTTACAGCGCTTACATTGTTATCAAATTGTCTTTTTCCAACATTAAATATGACCATATTTGATCACTACTTATCAAATAACGTAAATCAGGATATGTGGTCATGGAGAGAAGACAGCATGCTAAGGGTAATATATGAGTAATGTGATAGAAAAGAGGTTATCTAAAGACTTCCCTTGCTGGTGAAATGTGGAGGTTGGACTAGTATGATCTTTTAAGGTACCTTTCAACTCTGAATCTGTTGTCAGGATTAGCTTACTTTATACTCAGAAAAATTTTTTTTAAATTAAATGTTCACTGACTGAGGAAATAAGAATTTTTCTATTGTTCACTGAACAATAGTATTATTTAATTAGCATTTTAGGATTTCAAAGAATTGAAGAATAGTAGGATGTGATGTTTAAAAAGTTAGGAAGACATAGTTTCTGGGTAATTAATCACTATATTAATAATGCTAGAATATTATTAATAAAAGGAACGGTCATTTGGTCATCTCTTTTGGACCAAAGATGAACCATGGCAGCGGGCTCATAGTTTCTATGCCCTTGGAAGATTGGGTGTTCCTGATGGTGGCAATCAACTCTGGTTGCTTAACAGTTAATAAGAGAGTGAATATCATAATGAGAGGTGAACCTATTCTAATGACGGGCTAGGGGATATAATTTTGATCACCCCCAGCCTGGGAAAATCTAGACAAAGAATCTACATTCCCCACCCAAGCCTGAGTAGAACATAATTGGGGGGATGAAGGGGTTCACTTTAGTTTAAATTCCTTGTAAGGGGTGGGGTAGCAATACCTAGATTGAGGAGCAATAATTAAGATTGTTAATCCTTTCTACTTTCATCAGTCCTGTCCTTCAGAGGCTGAGCCACGAAATGAGGACTTTAGAAAAAGGGAGAGAATTCTGGATCTGCTCAAATCATTGGTTCTTAATAATCATTTCTCTCAAGGAGAAGGGCTATAGCAACAAAAGTAAAGTTTCTTACAGGAATAGTATGTATACTAGGGAAAAAATTAAATTTCTTTCTTGATAAGAAAGAGGGTTCAGTGGCTTTCCCATATCTCCTAACTGATGCTTTACAGAAGTTCTGGGCTAATTCTCCACAGCTCATTCTCAGAAGTTGGGTCGGTTTTTCAGATAGTTATTATTCCCACTCCCAACCCCACAAATAATTGCCACTAATGAGTAAACGATGTCACATGTCTCTTTTCTACAACCTCAGATTTCTCCCACTTACCTTGGCCAGGGGAATTCCTAGGGACAGATGATACTTATTTTCATGATGGAATAACAGTAGTAGTTGACATTTATATTGTGCTTTCTCATTTGAGCCTCACAGCAGGGTGCATGGTAACTCATGGATGGATTATCCTTATTTCACCAATGAGATCAGAGAAATTAACATCAAGGCCCCTAGCTAATAGATGGCAGAGCCAGTACTAGAATACAGACCTCCTAATTCCCAGACCAGTGGTCTTTCTACTATACTTCCCTTTCAGTCTTAGTGGTTTTTTTGTTAACTTAACACATGCCAAATAGAATGCGCATTTGCATATGTATAGTAGATCCAAAAAAGAGGATTGCATATGAAACTGGAGGTCTCTTTTATGTACATCTTACTCTCCCCTCCTTTTAAGTCTTAAAACTTAAGAGGGGGCAGGGTACAGTAGAGAGATTGCTGAATCTGGAGACAGGTCAATTTGACATTGAGGAGCTGTGTAATTATCACCTAATCCCCCAAGCCTCAATTCTTCATCTATAAAATAGAAATATAATACTTGCAGTACTGTAAATCACAAGGTTATTGTGAGAGTTCAGTGAGATCATGTGCATGAAGTATGTTGGAAACATTAAAGCACTATATGAATGTTACTTGTAATTATTATTAATAATAAAATCACTGAGTACAGATTGTATCAGGAAAGGAGGAAAAGGAGAAAAAGGAGAAAAGGATAAATCACTTGATGGGCTATGGGTAAAATATTATATAATTGAGGACAGCTAGGTGGTACAGTTGATAGAATGCCAGGTCTAGAGTCAGGAAGACTCATCTTTCTGAGTTCATATCTTGCCTCAGACTCTTTCTAGCTGTGTGACCCCAGGCAAGTCACTTAACCCTGTTTGTCTCAGTTCCTCATCTGTAAAATGAGATAGAGAAGGAAATGACAAACCACTCCAGTATATCTGCTAAGAAAACCCCAAATGGGGTCACAAAGAGTCAGATGTGACTGAACAACAACATTATATAATTAAGCACCACCCTGCCTTATTTGCCTATATTTTTTTTAAAAAAATGAAATTATCTACTTTATCAGTAGATAAAGATAATTAAAGGAGTGGTGAAAAGAAAAAGAAAAAGCCAAGGTGTTTAGGTAAGGGCTAGAAAGGAGCCTGGCATCTACTTTTCTGACCGGTTTCTATTCATTCCTTTTCCAATGATGTGATTCCCAGTCTGAGGCATATTTCCAGTTGTCGGTACTCTGTGACATGATTTGGAAGTATGTTCCCTCTGGTACTTAGAACTTGGTATGCTAAAAGAGAATAAACACAGTTGAAATGGCCGTGGTGACACTCATATTGTCCCCTTTCCTATTGATGGTCTACTTTCTGTTCCCTTCTTCAGAGAGATCACTCCTGTTCATTGTGGGGTATATATTATCTGCTCTGCTGAAGTGTAATGTTAGATTCATAGACATAGAGTTAGAACAGGACCATATAGTCCAACCCCTTCATTTTACAGCTAAGGAAACTGAGTCACAGAATGACTTATCCAAGGTCATATAGATAGCAAGTAGCAGAGTTGAGATTTGAACATAAACCATTCCTTTCTACTACATTAACTGAAGCAACTAAAATTTAAGTAATATTGCCAATTCAAAAGGAGACCACTTTGCAAACAGAAAAGACTTTAATCAATCAACCCTTTCCTGTACTCCTCATTCATTTTTAGGTAGAAAATGACTTCCCAATATGGAGGGAGAAAGAAGAGCCAAGGGTCAGAATGGTCCCAGTGGGACTACTGTCACAGTTTTTGGCATGATTCTGACTTTCTCCCTGACAAATAACAATCTAAATTATTAATAAAAATTATTATTTTTCCCTTAATATTCAGTCCTTATGGCTTGATTATAAACCTGGCTAATAATGTCATACTCGGTGTTTTGGTACATGGTATTCTCAGATTACTGAATGTAAAAGTTGTATCTCATTTTCTTTGTGCACACAACTGTGTGTTCACTAGTCTGTTACTGAAATGAACTTACAAGTGTGTCTTTTCACTATATGTAAGCATATTGTGACCCCTTCCCCTAATCTTTGGAGAGTAACTAAGCAAAAGATGCCGTTTCATATTTTTTATGAAAAGTAGGCATCATTAATAGACAAATCTTTCCTTTCTAAAAGGTAAATAATGTGGATTTTTTTAAGTGTTCAAAATGGCTAAATTTAAGTCTTTGAAAAAATTCAGCATGAGATATTCTGAAAACCTTCTGATGTTACTTTGATGATATTTGATGATGATGATGAAATTTGATATTTTCCAAGTAGACTTTTTTGTTGTTGTTGTTGTTATTGTCTGGAGCTGTGATTTCATTGGTGTAAGAAACTCCCTCTATGCAAACTCTTTCCCTCAATGCCAATCAGTAGTTTTATAATTTATCATTTTAGGGAGGTACCTGGGGCACTAAAAGGTTAAGTGATTTGCCCATGGTTCCATGATTAGTTTGCATCAGAGACCTTAAACTCCATTCTTCCTGACTCTAAGGTCAGCAATATAACCACTATGCTATGCTGCTTCTTTTTACAATAGCCAAACTCCCAAGAGACTAATTTATAAAACAGAATTTATTAATTTGTCTTGAGAAATATCTCTGCCAAGTGGAGAATCTCCTCCAGATGAATAGCATTTTCCTATTAGGCAACAGGTGACATAGTGGATAGAATTCTGGATTCAATGTCAGGAAGACCATCATTCAAATCCTACTTGTTACTTACTAGCTGTGTGAGACTAGACAAGTCATTCAACCTTGCTCAGCCTCAGTTTCCTCATCTATAAAATGGGGATCATAACAATTGTGAGGATCCAATGAAATAATGTATGTAAAGTACTACCTAAATGCTACCTATTATAAGGAAGAAAATGTATTGACCAGGTACCAATAAGTCTTCTCTACTTGGCAGATCTACTTCTTATGGTAATTAATACATTGGAATTCTCTTTTGTCAATTATTCCTTTGGGAATTTGGCCAGTATGAACCAGCTCTCCAGGACCTGATAACACCTGGGTAAACTTAAAAAAAGAAATAGTGTTTCAAGGGCAGCTAGGTGACCGGCCCTGGAGTCAGGAGGTCCTGAGTTCAAATCCGGCCACAGACACATAACACTCACTAGCTATGTGACTCTGAGCAAGTCACTTAACCCCAACTGCCTCACCAAAAAAAAAAAAAAAAATAGGGTTTCAGAGCTTGCAATCCTGGTCCCTGGTGACTGCCATCAAGGCAAAGATGCTATGAGGTCCAGCCTGGAAGACCACATCTGCCAGCTAAATCTAATATCATCTTCATTGTCCAAACAAAAGACTTTGTTAGCTAGTTCCTCACAGAATGGATGAATGAATAAAGAAGCTTTTATGAAGTTCTAATGATCTATGAAGCACCAAGTGCTAAGCAGTACAGATACAACCAGGAAAGCAAACCTGGAACACATAATAGCTAATTCATTAACGCTATACCATTGTTATTAACTATCTTGAACAAAGTGTCAAGTTTATAAATGCTAACTCTGACATGTTCTGTCTTGTCTATATAGTATTGCTATACTATTTTTCATATATATATATATATGCCTTCACATGGCAATGGTATAATGAAAAGAGTGAGGACCTTTGAGGAGAGACCTGGGTTCAAATCCCACTTCTGACAGTTAATCATTGAGTGACCCTGGGCAAGTCAGTCACTTAACTTCTCTGAGATTCAATTTCTTCCTTTGCAAAAGGGAGATAAAAATCTCCAGTACTTCATAGGATCGTGAGGATCAAATAAGATAGTACATATAAAGAACTTTACAAACCATGGAACATTATATAAAATATCAGCTGTTGTCACAGTGATACAAAATTTTATGAAAGCATTTCTTTTTTTCATATAAAATTTATAATATGCACTGTAGAAGACTAAAAACAGCTAAAATATTGATTTTAGAATACCTTTAAGCTAAATTTTAATTCTGTGGACTTCTTATAATCTAAGTATTTCTCTTTTTGTTATAGTGTTTGGAGAGTAAGCAAAAATTGGCGTGAAATTGTTGTGCAAGATAAAAAAGCAAATCAAAGGAGGAAAGATTATATACAACAACTGAAGGCAGATTCCAGGGTAATATATATATATATATATATATATTTGCTTTTCCTAAAGTGGCTTTTCCATAATTTAATCGACCAATTCTTAAATTGGATATAGCATTCGGGTTTTATAATAATATGTATGCATTATTTTCCTTGATAGCTTTTAACTTTTGTTATTTATCCAGCATTGATTTTTACATATATTTTGCCTAACAGCACTTCTACCTCATCTGTAATTAGAAGAGACACCACTATAACATTATTTTTTGTTCGGTTGTTTCAGTCATGTCCAACTTTTCATAACCCCATTCGGGGTTTTCTTGGCAGAGATACTGGAGTGGTTTGCCATTGTCTTCTCCAGCTCATTTTACAGATGAAGAAACTGAGGCAAACAGGGTTAAGTGACTTGCCCAGGGGCATATAACTAGTAAGTGTCTGAGGCAACATTTGAACTCAGGTCTTCCTGACTCCAGGCTGGGTCTCTATCCACTGTACCACCTAGCTGCCTTATAACATCAATGTCTTTGTTTCCAAAAAAGCATTTGTGTGTGCTTTTACAGCTATTTAGCATTTTGTGCTGATGACGTGCTAATTGGATGTCTCTCCATTGGGTTAACCAGACAATGAATACATCAACATGCATTTATTGAAAATATAAATAAGTAAATGCAAATATAAAAGTGAAATAGTCCCTGCCCTGACGGAGCTTGCAATCTATCTGGGAGAAACAATACATACATACATACATAATAAATATAAGATAGTTTTAGAGCAAAGGCACTAGCAACTGGGATGTCAGCAAAGGCTTCAGGTAAAAAGTGGCAACAGAAGTGAGATTGGAAGAGGCAGAGGCAAGGAGATGGCGCATTGCTGGTTTAGAGAACAACCATTGAAAAGCTGTGGAAATGGCAGATGGAGTGCTCTATATAAGCAACAATGAGAAAATCAGATAAACGTGGAAATGATAAGACTAGGCAGTTCATTGAATATGTAGGGTAAGGAAAAGTGAGGGGTTGAGCAGGACACCAAGGTTGTGAGCCAGGTTGACTGGAAAGCCGGAGAGAAAGAGGGAAGTTTGGAACAGGGATGAGCTTGGGGGAAGGGAGGTAATGAACTCTTTGTTGGACATATTTGGCTTGAGATGCCAACGTCAAGTTTAAAATGTTCAGCAGGTAGTTGGAGATGGGCAACTAGAGCTCAGGAGATGTATGGGTCCTTACTATGTGATAAGCATTGTTATAAACACTCAGAATACAAATAGAAAAGGGAGACAATCCCTGCTCTCAAGGAACTCACATTCTAAAGGGAAAGACAATCCATATCAGAGGGGTCCAGCCATCGAATTGATGAAAAGACCCAATGGGCTTTAGGGTTCAGTCACAGAGCAAAAGGCAAGTCCCAGGGGTCTTTAGGGTATGTGATCAAGGATTAAGAGACAGTGTAGAGAGATTCTTCTTTTTTTTTTTAAAAAAAAAGGGCCCAGGACAGAGTTTTAGGGTTCACCCATAGTTAGGTTAGATGATGTGGATGATAACCCAGCAAAAGTGACTAAGAATGAGTGGTCAGGCAAGTAATAGAAAAATCAAGAGAGATCACTATCCTATCATGAAAACCTAGAAAGAATATCTAGGAGGAGAAGGTGATTAGTGGTATATGGTCAACAGTATCGCATGCTACAGAGATTTTAACAAAGGATAAAGACTGAAAAAAGACCCATTAGGATGTTTGGTAAAGTTGGTGATATAAAACCCTGCTCACCTAAGAAGCAACCCCAAAGATTTTTTAAGAAAGGAGGGGGAGAAGTGACCAGACAAAGCAAAGATTCAGTAAGTCAGCTCTTCCAACCAGTCTAGGACTGCACAAGAAGATGACTGAAAACTTATGGGCATTTTGATAAAGAGCCCTTCAGGAACACCTGATGCCAGCAGGTTTGGGTCTCCACCTATCAGAGCTATAGCAGAGACAAAACCAGCTTGTGGTAGGTGACTGCGCTAGGAAATAGAAATGCCATCAGTCTTTTAGGAAGTACAATACAATGAAGCCAGTGTGATTTGCTATAGAGGGAACTAGAAGCCAGTGAGATCTTAGCTCTAGATCTACCCCAAGGGACAAAGGCAACTCCCATGAGGTAACTGAGTAAGGAGGCAGAGATGCTAAGGCCTCTGGAAAGTTTGTGCCTCAGGGTCTTCCAGGAGGCCTAAAGCCAATATGATTTCCAATATTGCACCAGAAGACAAGGCCAATTTCCTATAGGGGATTGTGCAAGAAGATACAGAGTTAGGGAAGAGGTCAGCACCTAATCTGGGCTACCAGAAGACAGAAGACAGAGGTTGAAGCAAAGGGTTGCGCCTGATCCAAGCTCTGGGCCCAGCTCCTTGACCCAACCAGCATTGCAGAAGAAGGCATGAAGGAGGATGTAGACAATCATCCCATCCAGTACTGCAGCAGAGCAGTAGCATTAGTATCTAGACTGTAGTGGGTACAGTATCTGGGTCCACCCACCCCAGGTGGGAGGCAGAATTAGTCCTGGTACAAGGTCCTCATTTGGAATTGAGGCTGGAAACATAAGTAAACAAAAGAAAACTCTTAATACAATGAAAAAAATATTATGGGTTAAGAGAAGCCCAAGAGGCAAACCAAGAAGATGACTATAATTCCTCAACAAGTAGAGGTAGAACCTAATGAGAAAGAGGTTTGGCCACAAGGAATCAAGAGTATATGGAAGAAATTAAGCAAGAGGATTTCAAACGTGAAATTAGAGCTCTTGAGGAAGAAAATTGGAGGAAGAATAGTTTATAAGGGAAGGTAGAAACCCTACCCAAGTAGGGTGATTCAGTGAGGCAAGAAATAGTAGAACAAAATCAAAAGCCTGAAAAGTTAGAAGAATATGTAAGGTATCTACTATCAAAAACAACTGCCTTAAAAAGTAGGTTGAGTAGAGATAATTTAATACTCCTCCCAAAACATGAATAACTAAAAGGCCTGGATACTATATTTAAAAAAAAGAAAGATTGCTCCAAAGTATTAGAAGCAGTTGGCAGATGAAATTTTAGAAAACAAAACAAAACAATGGCCAATTCTAGAAAGAAACTCCAAATTAAAAACATTTTTGGACATTAAATATCATACTCAAAGTCCAAATCTGCCATGTCAAAGAGAAAACATGTTAAAAATGGCCAAAAGGCATTTAAATAACAAGAAATCACAGCCAGGATGACATAAAACCATGCTGAAACTGTGAACGTAAAGATATACACAGAATGAAACATGGTACTGGAATAGAATTTTTCTGTTATTAGATGAATCCAAAAAAAAGCGAGGTGCCAATTTTTGTTTCAGACAAAGCAACAGTAAAAACAGATATTGTTTAAAAATAGAGAAGCAGCAAAACCATGTTATGCTAAAAGATATGGGAAGTAATGAAATTATACCAGTATTAAATATATATACTCACATATTAAATGGCACAGAACCTAAGTCATTGTTGTCATTGAGTCATTTCAGTCATGTCTGACTGTGACTCCATCTGAGGTTTTCTTGGCAAAGATACTGAAATGGTTTACCACTTAGAACTTAAGTACTTAAAGGAAAAGCTAATTAAACAACAGGAAGAAAGGGGAGATGATATTGGGGACAATCTGCTAGAGAAGATGGGAGGATATGGAATCATGGGTTATAGGTAAAAGAGTTGTACTTGGTGATGAGAAGGGCCACCTTGTTCTTTGGAGACTGGAATAAAGAAGGAGAGATGGGGGGGTGGGTTGTGAGATAAAAGAAGGTGAAAGTGCCATACAGGAAAATAGAAGGGAAAGGGGATGAGAGAAGGGGGGGGAGATAGAAGGGAGGGCAGATTAGGGGAATGCACATCATCTTGGGCTGGGGGGAGGGACAAGATGGGGAGAAAATTTGAAACTCAAAATCTTGTGGAAGTGAATGTTGAAAATGAAAATAAATAAATTAATAAACAAAAAAAGGTGAAAAGAGAGAGCTCACAGTGAATGGTTTTTATATTCTTTGTAAACTATGAAGTGAAGTACTCAGCTGTGAAAGTAAGAGAAGGGTTGTTGTGGGTATCTTATGGAATGAGAGAAAGTTTGGGGTAACCATTGTAGATGGTAGACTAGAAAATTAATTAGGGAAAATTAAAATGATTATCTTGCTTCAGTGAGGGCCCCACTGAAATCACTCAAATAGATCTATGATCTCATTGATTTGGGAGTTCCCTTCAGTGGCACAGATTGAAATTTATCCATGCCTACCCACCCTATGCACCTTTCATCTAAGTCTTTCCAAAATTTTGCCACAAGGGAGCTCTTTCTCGATTTCTCCCAACATAATGAAGGTACCAGTGGAACACTCTGACCATCCACCTGTCATCCCTCTCTTTCACTACAGCACTAGTGCATCTTCTCTTTCTGTCTTACAATTCTTTAGTGACATCTTTAGGTTTGTTCTTCAGAGTTCCTCGTTAGTTACATGTTGCATTTGGCTCATATGCCCCCATTTTTCTTTCCTTTGCCCCTTGTGTAGTATTTATCTTTAGTTCTTCTGAGATAGTAATGTTCCAGGTCTTGCTACTATATAGAAACACAGACAAAAATTTGCATGGAAAAGATGGGCCTTTACAATTATGGGAAGCTTGGAGTCAGTAAAGATTTAAAATAGACAACATGAATTTGCAGTGGACCCAATCAGGATGACTTTCTCCAGCTCCATTCAGCAGCACTTGAGTAGGAGTCAGGGAAAAGGAAGGTGGGAGGAATCCAGGGTTGGAGTTTCTCAAGTGTGAGTGGTGAGTGGAGCAAGAGATTTGAGAATGGAGGATAGTATAGAGTTGAACTCATTGGTACAGTGCTTGGCATGTAGTAGGTACTTAATAAATGCTTGTTGATTGATTGACTAAAAGGTTGAGATTAGGAAAGTAAAGCCCAGGCAGAGGTAATGAGTTGGGAAAAGTACGGACTAATGAAGACTAGGTATAGGTGTGCAAGGTAGAAATGGAATGTTAAGAGGTTATGGCTGAATAAATGAACTTCAGAGTTCTTGATTATGGAAATTGGGGTGATGGCAAGGTCAAGGATGTAGCACATCCCACCCCTATACCTTTCTGTGTGTAGCTTAGATGGAGCAGAGGAGTAGGTCATAGCAGGGGAGGTTAGAGTATGTAAATTCTCTAGTATAAGGGCAGGAGTTGTGAAGAGGAAGATTATGAGCCAGTTAACAACTATTTATTAAGCACTTAGTATATACCAGACATTGTGCTAAGTGCTGGGAATGCAAAGAAAGGCAAAAACATGATCTCTGCCCATAAGGAGCTCACATTTTAGTGAGCGATAACAATGTACAAACATGATATGGACAGTATAAATTGAAGGTGACTTTAGAGGGAAAACATTAACAATTGGGGTAACAGGGAAAGGCCACCTGCAGAAGACGGGTTTGGAGGGGAGCGCTGAAAGAAGCCTAGAGAGCCAGAAGGTGGAGAAGGGGAGGGAGAGCATTCCAGGTGTTGGTGACAGCCGGTGCAAAGTCCAGAGATAGAGTGTGCAATAGCACACAAGAAACAAACTGTGCAACTGGATTGTAGTTTGTGGAGGAGAGTCAAGTATAGGAAGATTGGAAAGGCAGGAAAGGACCAGGTTGTGAATGGCTTTAAATGCCAAGCAGCATTTTATATTTAATCTCCGTGGTAATAGAAAGCCACTGGAGTTTATTGAGTAGAGCATTGATATGGTTAGATCTGGTTTAGGAAACTTGCTTTAGCAGCTAAGTGGCAGATGGATTGCAATGGGGAGATGTTGCAATAGTCTAGCCATGAAGTGAAGATGGCCTGTGCCAGGGTGATGTTGTGTGAGTGGAGAGAAAGAGCTGTATATGAGAAATGTTGTGAAGGTACACATTATCAGATTAAACAACAGATTGGATCTATGGGATGAGTGAGAATGAGGAGTCAAGGATGACACTAAGATTAGAGCTTAGGTGGCTGGGAGGAGGGTAGTTCGCTTGACAGTAATGGGAAGGTTGGAAAGCTAGGTTTTGGGGAAGGGTACCCCCGGAGCCCCTGCAACTACAGAGGCTGAGGCTGGTTGATCCCTTGAGGTTAGGAGTTCTGAGCTGAAGTTGGTTGGTTAGTTGCTGGCCTTCGTTCTTGAAGAGGTCAAGTTGTTGGGGTCAAGGTACGGTGTATCCAGCTGTGGCTAATCAGACCAATATGAGCTCAGAAGGTTCTACCACAGGTCAGGCACATATGGACATTTTGATGAAGAAGTCTCTAGATTTGTGCATCATGTGTTTCTTTTGAGCTATTGCAATTCTACTTTGCTCAAAGACTACAGCTCCTGCAGTAGGCTAAGGTTGATTGATTGGGTGTCCAAACTAAATCCTGCGTCAATATGGTGAGACCCGGGAGGGTGTGGGGCCACCAGGCAGCCTAAGGAGTGGTGCATTGGCCCAGGTCAGAAATGATGCAGATCAAAGCTGCCCTGTTCAGTGAAACCCATGGGTGTCCATATACATTTCCAGCCTGGGTGAGAGGGAGACTCAGTCTCAAAAATAAAAAACAAACAAACAAACAAAAAGAAGGTTGGGAATGAAATTACCCTCCTCCAGTCACCTAAACTTAATCTAATTAATTAAACCTAAATTTAATCTGATCACGTGTACCTTCACAACATTTCTTATATACAACTTTCTCTCCACTCACACTCCACCACCCTGGCACAGGCCATCTTCACTTCATGCCTAGAGTATTGCAATAGCCTTCTGGTTGGTCCTTCTACCTCAAATCTCTCCCCATTGTAACCCATCTACCACTCAGCTGCCAAAATAATTTTCCTAAAGCAGATCTAACCATGTCATTGCCCTACTCAAACTCCAGTAGCTTTCTATTACTATTGATATTAAATATAATTCAGTGGAGATCATGGAATCCTGTGCTCCCTAGCCATATAATGTCAAAGGAAGGGTATTGGGGTTAAAAAGTGAACCTTTGTTTCAGAGAAAAGTTTGGGATCATTAAAAGCACTTTGCACATTTTCAGATATAATATGGCCAGCTTTCTTCCTCCTATTTAATTTCAGGCTTTGTTGATTGCACATCTATAATCTCTAAGATATATATACTCATGGCCCAGGTTTATGAATTGTCCCTCTAACTGCATATCATAGTCTAGGCAATAAGCATGTCATTCACCTTTTTTTCCCCCTGTGTTCATAATTCGACGGACAGTTAGGTGGCACAGTAGATAGAGTGCATGGGCCTGGAGTCAAGAAGATCCATCCTCCTGAGTTCAAATCTGGCCTCAGACACTTACTAGCTGTGTGACCCTGGGCAAGTCACTTAACCCTGTTTGCCTCAGTTTCCTCATCTGTAAAATGAGCTGAAGAAGGAAATGGCAAAACTGCTCCAGTATCTTTGCCAAGAAAACACTAAATGGGAGCACTAAGAGTCAGACACCACTAAAATGACTGAACAACAACAATAATTAGACCAAATGCTTTTGAGTAATTGTGGATTTCATTGAAGAGGCTCTGTAATCTTCTGGGACTTAGTGAAATCAGAACAATAATTTCATTCACAAGCAGGAGTGCTATTTACAGTGAAGCCCTCTTTCATTTGAACTCCTTGAAGCTGGTGGCAAACACCTTTGGTAAGAAAATATTTCCTTGTTTTTTTATCTCATTTGATAGGATTATTGAACATTATGTTAACTGTTAGGTATTTCAAGGGATCTTACATGATACCAGCATATTCAAGGGAGGCGCCTTTTTGGGAGAAGGGCCTTTAAAGGCTATGTTTTACTCCACTGAATCGACAGACAAAACACAATGGCATCTTGCATTTTCTGTGGCTGCTGGTCAATTGCATGTGTAAAGATGTGGTCTCGTTAGAAGATTATTTGTGAAAGTCTGCCTGTTCTCTTCTTATATATTCATTAAGAACAACTTCAATTTATGTATTGATCTCATGAACATTTTGTCGAGATGAGAGCATAAGCATTTGATTTGGTGGTTATTTTCTCAATTCCCTTTCTTTTGTGGGGGTGGAAGGGGAGGGCAGTAACAAAGTTCATGATTTTTTCCAAGCATTTGAAAAATGCTTTTCTTTTCATGATTCACTAAATTATGTTTGTGTAATGGCATGATAAGTGCAAAACCATGGTTTTTGTTTTTAGTGTGTGTTATTCTTTCTTTGCTTCTTTAATATATAATGAGAACAGATCCTTAAATGCCCTCAAAATTTTATCAGGGCCTGCATGGATTTCAGCCACCATCCAGATGTTATTGTTTAGTCATTTCAGTCACGTCCAACTCTTCATAACCCCATTTGGGGTTTTCTTGGAGTGGTTTGCCACTTCCTTCTGCAGCTCATTTTGCAGAGGAGGAAACTGAAGCAAACAGGGTTAAGTGACTTGCCCAGGGTCACACATCTAGTAAGTGTCTGAGGCTACATTTGAACTCAGATTTCCAGGCCCAAAGCTCCATCCACTTTCCACCTTAGTCCAAATACTCTTCACTATTTTTGTATGTGCAATTTCTGCTTCCTGATTCCTTCATCACAAACTATGATGTTTGAGTCTAAAGGTAGTGATTTCACTGTCACTGATGGTGAAAAGAGTTCGTGATAGGAGTTTTCCTGTTTTCCTTTGTTGCTTTCCTTCCAGTTTCACTCCCGAGTTGTATTTTCCAAAATATTTTTTCACTGCCTCACCTTCTTCCCATGGTTATCTTCTGCCTTAATGGCATTGAATCTTGGCATTTTTATTTGGAGGGTCTTACTGAATTCTTCACTGAAAATCTCCACCTACTCATTATCTGCAACAGATGTTGGTATGTGAGCTGAAATTATCTTCACAGGGGTCTTTCTTTCAGTGCTTTTCATAAATCTTTCCACACAAGATGACCTGCTGTCTAATGACATGTTTCTTCTTACTTCTTGCTATATGATGAAGCCAGCTCCCCTGTCACTCCAAGGAAAACTTGTCATCCTTTTGGACTTAGGTTTTATTTATAGTTAGAATTTATGTTTAGTACTTGTGAGATTCAGATCTTCTAGTAGTATGTTCACTCGGGCATTGGTTAAGCATTTGATACTTGGAGTTTGAACAGTTAATGGTATTACCTAAGCAGTTATTGTCTGAAAACCTCTGTGAGTCTTAGAAATATAGACTAATGAATTAGAATTAAAGATAGAGCTTTTCTTTTCATGATTCACTAAATTATGTTTGTGTAATGACATGATAAGTGTTAAACCATGGTTTTTGTTTTGTGTGTGTGTGCTGCTTTCTCATGTGGTTCTTTCATCACATTCTTGGCAATGAAGTAGATAAAATTTACTTAGGCTGGCTATTAATTTATTAAGGTAAGTGATGGATCAGTTTGTAAAAAGTTTGCTAATATTTTCCCAGCACAATTGATAGTTCTTTGGGTTCATAAAAATTACTCCTTCAGAGTTTTCCTCATCAGTATATTTAACTTATAAAAGGGTTTTCAGCTCAGACTAAAGTTGTTTTTTTTTTCTTCTTACATTATCAAAGCTTTTTAAAACTTGACAGGAACCATAAAAATGAACTAGCACCAGGTATTGGCAAAGGCCAATCTAAGCTATCGAGTTTTATAGTCTCACTAGGCCTATTATTCTCATGACTTGCTGCTAAATGAGATGTCTTCAAAGAATTCCAAAGTATTTGGTAGCAAGCTTCATAAAGATTTATTACTTCTTAGGCTTTCAGTTCAAATGGATAGAAGATTACAAATTTTGCTTAGAGTTCTCATTTAACAATATTTTGGGTTTAAAATTTTTTTAAATTTTTTGCCTTAGCTTTAAAAACTAAAATGTTAGTTGCAAAAATATATAATTCATAAAAGCAATAGTTTGGGGGTGGGCATACAAAGGAATGCCAAGAAAATAACACCAAAAAAGACAAATCTGCTTTGCAGCAGAGAGGTACTCTCCTGGGTCTCCCTAGGTATTAACTATTGTAATAGCCAATCTTATTCTCTTCCAACAGGGGAATATATTAAGTGTCGAGGATGCTGCAACAAGGCTCAATCTTTTAAACCGATCAGCTCTGAGATCTGTGCAAGCTCAAGCTAGGACACCTGGTTCTCAAAAAGAAGAGGTTTCAACACCATCTCCTTGGGGGCAAGTTTTAACGCCCAAAGAATGCTGCTCTGTTACTCAGTTACCTAGCAAACAGGAAGAGTATGTTAAGGTGAGTATCTATAACCCATTCTTAAAAGGAAATACTGGACATAGAGTGATTCTTGACTCAGAACTGTAGGATTCAGTGTGTCTGCTTCTACTACAGGTTGCCAAAACACTTTTTATTGATGAAGCATTAAAACCTTGTCCAAGGTGCCAGTCCCCTGCTAAGTATCAGCCAATTAAGAAACGGGGACTGTGCAGTCGGGAAGCCTGTGGTTTTGACTTTTGTGTGTTATGTCTGTGTACATACCATGGGGCAGAAGAATGTAGTAGTAGATCTGCAAAGCCACGAAATAAAAGAGATGCTCTTCCAGGAAGTGCTCAGAGCAAGCGCAACTTAAAAAGACTTTAAAAGAAATACTCCTCCCTCCTCCTTGGCCCCCCACCACTGCCCCCATTTTGGTATCTGTTGCTTTGTCTAATTTTTAATTATGAACTTTTTGAAAGTACCCAGATCTTCCTCTTAATGACAATTGATGATTTCCTTTCCCTATTAAGTACATGTAGCCTCATTCTTTGTCTTTATATGATTATAGTAAGGTTGTAAATGCTATGAAAGAATGTATTTCTTTTATTGTACATCTTTTATCCATTTGTGTTTAATAACTCAATGTTTTTAATAATAAAGTATTTTTAGTGCTGTCTTTCATATATATGTATTTTAATGTTGAAAATGAAACCTTACATGTTAAATGGCCTCTTCAAATCATATTTTAAAAAATTGTTTCCCAAACAATAATCGAATTTTGATCTTGCAAGGATTAGCCCCATAGATTTGGGTAATGGACATGTAAATAAAATGAAATATAAATAAAATGTTTTAAGAAATTATTTTGAATTTATTATAACTTTAATCTTTATTTCTTAATCATATAGTAAGTAACATACTTGATAGGAGTCATCTCTATTGGAGCAAAATTTCTATTACTATTGTTACTATTAAGGAGTAAAAGTAAAAAAAAAAACCCTGATTTTATCTGGAACGGTAGTTGGTGGGAAGTCTTAATTTTACAAAAAGAAACCTTATAATAAGTTGTGAATTTTAAATGTTTGAGGAAAAAACACATTGTTAGAGATCTTACCTGTGTAATATGACTTGATTATTAATAATCAGAATACCGTTATTGGTTTGAAAAATATAAAGAGTTTCATGTATAAAACCTTTGTCAGGAATGTTGTTTTATTTCAGAGCAGAAATAGTTAAAAACAGAAAAATACTCTGAAAGTAATTTTAGAATTTTTTTGATAATTAGGACAACCAAACTACAATTAATTTTTTTAAAAACCACTGATTTTAATCTTGAATAGGTCAAAATGTAGCAGTTTATGTGCTTAGCATAGTGCGTGGCACATAATAGGTGCTTAATAGATGTTAGTTGACTAACTAGTGGACTGAAATGAAATAGACTTACAATGTGAAACAAAGTTGTATAAATCATGGAATACATTTTGTTTTCCACATTTCAACTTTTAGCCTTAAGAGATTCCTATGAAGTTTTGATTGTTTGCTAAATATGAATATAAAATTGAAAATTTAAATACAGACTAAAAATGCTCTATGTTATGTTTTTCATCACAATTTAAGATTAATTTGATCCAACTAAATTCTGATGTTCTACATCAGGATTGATGAGATTCTAGTCAACTTACCTTTGTTCATCAAATTCTGTTGTTTGTTTCCCAATAAATCATTTATTTATTCATGGAAGACATTTCCAGTCTTGATTCTCTTAATTTATGAAGCCAAATTATTTGTCTTTTTAAATGCTAACCCTTGCCATCAAACCTTTTGCTTCTTTTTCAATAGATAGAAGTCTCTGGTCCAATGCAACAGACATTAGGTTTTCCATCAAGTGATTGCAATTCTATGTTGTTGATTTATGACTTTCCTTAGTACCATTCAATACATATCTATTCATTTCTTAGAATCACAGAAACATTGCTACTTCATTTTTTAAAAAAATACTATCAAACCATTGTGTTATAATGTTTAAAAACATGGTCATATTAAAAATAATTTCTTATTTTTCTTTAGTATTTTATTATTTGATAAAGTTTACTTATCGTGAAAAGGGAAGCAAGGTTTATCATTGTTTATCAAGTTTTCTGGAAATCCAAGTGACCCAATAGAGTTAATCTGGAATTTTCTTTCTAATTTATTGGGAAGTTTTCCATTTTCTGGTACTACTTAGTACTCTCAATGTAGCACTCTCACAATTGCCATCTGGTGGGTAAAAATACTAAAAAATAATGTATTTAGCTTCACCAGTTTATTTAGCATGTTATATCTTACTTTATTCTGGCAATAAACTGCTTGATTTTTGTCATTTATATTTTTTTTAAAGTGACTACTGCCGCATGCTTTTCTTCCCACTGTATATTACTATACTTGGGGAATTTCTCCTTGATCTCTTGAAGGAATGGTGGAATAGCAAGAGTTAGGACTGGGCCTGTGATTTCTGAGATGAATGAACTCCTAGTGAGGAACTTTCAATCACCCTTTCTATCAATGCAAATTGGCACCTTTTCAGCAATTTCTAGTTTTAGAGCATTGCCTGGGGTCTTGAGAGGTTCTGATTTGCTCAGTCACCCAGCCAGCATTTGTCAGAGGCCTGAAACCAGTGGAAGAGTAGGTGAATTAAAAAAAGACCATAGGATCGTAGCTTTTGAGCTTAAAAGGACCTCAGAGGTCCTTCATTCCAACCCCTCTCATCTTACCAAAGAGGAAGCAGAAACACCCAAAGGTTAAATGAATTGTCCAGGATCATGCAGGTAGTAAGGGGGCTGAGGTGGAACCTGAACCCCCATGTCTTTCTGACTCCAAGTCCAGTGCCCTGTCCAATATGCCATGCTGCTTCTCAAGAAGAGAGTGGGTTGATTGACTTCAAAAGTTTTGTCTTTAACTTAGGATTTAATTACTGTGCTTGGTGTATGATATGATGACATAATATCAATTCAGCATGGGATAATAGAAAGGCAGTCTTGGAGTCAGGAAGACCTGGGCTTACCACTCACTAGCTGGGGAAAGTCACTTGTTAAACTCTGGGTGACTCATGCAGCCTTCTTAAGACTTTAAGTTATAGGCAACTTGCTGATCTGCATTACTGAAAGGAGCTTCCATGTCAGGAATTTTATAGATCCATGAAATCACAGAACCATACTGTCTCTTATCCTTCCTCTCCCCACCCAGCCAAAATTAAGAAACTCAAGGCTGGGAATATCTACTGAGAACAAATAAACATTTTTTTTGGATAACAAAGAAACAACAAAACTGTCATTAGGGAAAGAGAAGAGGAGAAGGAATAAGAAATTATAAAATGCCTACTATGTGCCAGGCACTTTGCTAAGTGTTTTTTATAAATATTATCTCATTTGATCCTCACAACAACCCTGCTAGGTAGGTGCTATTATTATCCCTACTTTATAGGTAAGAAAACGGAGGCAGAGAGAAAGTAACTTGCCCAGCTAGCATCCAAGGCTGGATTTGAATTTAGATTTTCCTGACTCTGAGCCCAGAGCTCTATCCACAAGCTAACTAGAATCTCATCAATCAAAAAAAAAAAAAAAAAAAACCCAAAAAAAACCAAACCACAAACCACTTTAAATATTACAATCAATGGAAGAATCAAGTTCTAAGTGGGGATTCAAAAGGTAACCAACTTTATTTATGTTTTGCTTTAAGAAGTTTGATGTTGGAAGATGTGATTGGAAGGTACTGTTTAACAAAGAAATGTTCATTAGTTTTGAAACATAGAGCTCTAGCCTAGTCAGTAAGAATCTAAGCAGACAATTTATGAGTGTTGCAACATTCCCAAACAAAAAGCAGCTCTGTGTATCCGTAATACACACACACACACACACACACACACACACACACACACACACACATCCCTCTGGAGGTAACCCTTTAAAAATTCAATTGAGTTTAAAAACTAAAAAATAGTACATTTACTGAAATATTTTACCCTTATATATTGATCTAATTTCCTATTCAATTATACTGATAATTCCTAAATTATGAAACTAAATGTTATATGTAAGAAATTTGTCTTAACACTCAAGCATGGCAATGTAATAATATTAAGTTGAATAGCTACTGTATGATTGTACTGCCATTACAGACAAAGAGAATGTTACTGACATAAATGTAGATAGAGAGATAGGGTAAGCATTTATTAAGTGCTTATGATGTTCCATTGATCCAGGCACTGGGAATACAAATGCTAGCAAGCAAGATAGTCCTTGCCCTCAAGATGCTTACATACTAATTGGAGACACATAAAGGAAAACTGGAAAGCAAGGGTGAAGGGGATAAAGTGAGCCAGGCATGGAGAGGCACAATCCAGGTTACAGGGAGGTGGGAGGTGGATATGATGGTTCAAATTGGGGCAGCATGGTGTGGAGAGCTCCAGGAAATACATCTTCTTTTTCTTTTTTTTTTCTTTTTTTGGCTAGGCAATGGGGTTAAGTGACTTGCCCACAGCTAATAAGTGTTATGTGTCTGAGTCCGGATTTGAACTCAGGTCCTCCTGAATCCAGGGCTGGTGCTCTATCTACTGTGCCACCTAGCTGCCCCTTACATCTTCTAAGTAAAAGTGGGTTTGTGATGATCCATTCACAGCCTCATGGAACCAATTGTACATTTGGGAAATGGGCATGGACCTTGGGACAAAATGAAGCAAATTGATATCTGTGGAAACACCGTAGTCCTAAACAATTGAACTTTGAAACCCCACCCCCATTCTAAGAGCTCCTCCCAACAAGTAAGTGTCAAATTATTATGTGTTCAGAAAGTATTTCTATGACCAAAAGCTTTGCAAAGTATCTATGTGTCAGAAAAAAGCTGGGACTAAAGTTAAGGTGAAGCAGATACAAGATCCAGAGGGACCCTGTTTCTTATAAGTGCACATATTTTTAATACTAGCAGATTTATTCTGCTCTCCAGAAGGGTTTTCTTTATAATAAACCAAGTCATACACATATCATAATGAAAGCTCAAAGCCTGGTGGACAGTTAACACAAAGGAGATGCAACTTTCAAACCTTGCCTAGGGCACACATATGACTTGACCTGGCTCTGCTGGCTACCAGTTTACACAGTGTGACCACATTTCAAAAATGAAAGAACATGCTGCTATTTTGGAAAATAAAAAATTCTTAGTGCATTTAGGCAACGGAAAATTACAGGATAATCCCAATAAAGTAGCAATTTAGCTCTGAGGTAAATCATACAAAAAGTACAGTTTGAAAAAAGTGAATGTGTACTAAGATTTGGACATGATGCTCAGTATAAAAGAAGATAGCTAATTGTTCCAGTCCTGGAGGATTTTACAGTCTCAGTGATGGGGCAGAC